TACCTCACTCCACCAGTAACTTCCCTTGTCCCTACAATACCTTACCTCACTCCACCGTAACTTCCCTTTTCCCTACAATACCTTACCTCACTCCACCAGTTAACTTCCCTTGTCCCTACAATACCTTACCTCACTCCACCATAACTTCCCTTGTCCCTACAATACCTTACCTCACTCCACCAGTAACTTCCCTTGTCCCTACAATACCTTACCTCACTCCACCAGTTTAAATTCCCTTGTCCCTACAATACCTTACCTCACTCCACCAGTAACTTCCCTTGTCCCTACAATACCTTACCTCACTCCACCAGTAACTTCCCTTGTCCCTACAATACCTTACCTCACTCCACCAGTAACTTCCTTGTCCCTACAATACCTTACCTCACTCCACCAGTAACTTCCCTTGTCCTACAATACCTTACCTCACTCCACCAGTAACTTCCCTTGTCCCTACAATACCTTACCTCACTCCACCAGTAACTTCCTTGTCCCTACAATACCTTACCTCACTCCACCAGTAACTTCCTTGTCCCTACAATACCTTACCTCACTCCACCAGTAACTTCCCTTGTCCCTACAATACCTTACCTCGCTCCACCAGTAACTTCCCTTGTCCCTACAATACCTTACCTCACTCCACCAGTAACTTCCCTTGTCCCTACAATAAATTATCCCGCTCCACCAGTAACTTCCCTTGTCCCTACAATACCTTACCTCGCTCTACCAGTAACTTCCCTTGTCCCTACAATACCTTACCTCGCTCTACCAGTAACTTCCCTTGTCCCTACAATACCTTACCTTGCTCTACCAGTAACTTCCCTTGTCCCTACAATACCTTACCTTGCTCTACCAGTAACTTCCTTGTCCCTACAATACCTTACCTTGCTCTACCAGTAACTTCCCTTGTCCCTACAATACCTTACCTTGCTCTACCAGTAACTTCCCTTGTCCCTACAATACCTTACCTTGCTCTACCAGTAACTTCCCTTGTCCCTACAATACCTTACCTTGCTCTACCAGTAACTTCCCTTGTCCCTACAATACCTTACCTTGCTCTACCAGTAACTTCCCTTGTCCCTACAATACCTTACCTTGCTCCACCAGTAACTTCCCTTGTCCCTACAATACCTTACCTTGCTCCACCAGTAACTTCCCCCGCCCCGCCTTGTCATTAATTTCCTCTACCCATTCAGTCAATTTTCCCCGCCTTATCAGCCGGTTTCCCCGCTTCATCAGCCAGTTTCCGTGCCTCATCAGCCGGTTTTCCCGCAACATCAACCAGTTTCCTCGCCTCATCAACCAGTTTCCCCGCCTCATCACCCAGTTTCCTCGCTTCATCAACCAGTTTCCCTGCACCATTATTAGCTTCCCCTGCTTCACTAGTCAATTTTCTCCGCCCTTGCAGTAACTTTCCCCGCCCCTACATTAATTTTCCCCGCCCCTACAGTAACTTTCCCAGGCCCTACAGTAACTTTCCCAGCCCCTACAGTAACTTTCCCAGCCCCTACAGTAACTTTCCTCCTAGTCAGCAACTTGCCAGTCACCTCGTAAAAGGTTCACTCTTCCTTGCTACTAACAAAGGTCAGTTATGATCGCTCCTTAATAACTATTAAGTGTGGGAACCAAGTAAATAGGAAGGCTGCGTCAAGGTCTACACCACAAAGAACTACATTAACTCTATAGAACTACCGCATTAATGTGATTGGTTCTCTGACTCAGCAGGAATGAACCAATATGGAAGCTGCTTCGAGCTAATTGGTCGGAGAGGGATCAGTACGATATAATCTGTCACCAATTAGTTTGTTGTTGTTTTGCAGTTATATATGAAGGTTATTAGGACTAATTACCGTATCAGATGTATAAAACATAAAACATCCAGAAAATTATGAGTTTGTTTTAAGAATTTAGGACGTGTTTCCATAAGACACCTGTTGTCCATGTTCACCCATCAGTAAAATGGGTACCTGGGTGTTAGTCGATTAGTGTGGGTCGTATCCTGGGACAAAATTGACCTAATTTGCCCGAATTGTTCTGTATAACAAGCGGCTTTCTGTATAGTAGTATGTCATTGATGTCAGCTAGACCTCTGTACCTTGTACATGTACTTGTAGAAATAAAGATTTTTATTATTATAAGAATCACTGTGTACGGCCGTTGCTACTACCAGTGTAGTGTTATTTAAGCCGAAACATTTCCTGTCGCTTGTACAAGCAGAAATGATTCCCTTGGCTTGTAAAGTTAAAGGATCTACTACCTCGAGAGTGATGGACTGATTACATCCTCTCTACATCCCTACTGCTGCTCCTCCTCCTCTGTATTCGACTGGAGAAGCCTACTGAATAATGATACCTAACTGTTGCAGGTGCGTGTTATCAACTAGGCCTCTCAGGGAGCCTATTGTCTATTAAGATTTAAAGGTGACACTCTTGAGATAATGAAGTCTAGTTGATGACTGCGAGTGGAGCGCCTGCAAGTTGCCTGACTGCTATAAAACAGTTGCTTCCAGCCTTGACCTTTAAATAGGTAACCAAGCGGACTTCCCTCCTAGCTCCGCCAGGTGATGCAGTAATCTACATCACTCTAAACTTTTACAAAAATCCCATCTGAAAGACACCTTGTTATTGTGTGTTGTAGCCTTGATCGACCCTGGTCAGGGACCAGGTGGTGGTGATGCTTATACTTAGTTATTCAATCTCCATTTTTACCTGGTATACCACCAGTCAAAGATTAAGTCAACTGATTATATATATATATATATATATATATATATATATATATATATATATATATATATATATATATATATATATATATATATATATATACCTTAAGATACAGACTTCTGTGTATATACACTGAAACACAACTCTGTGTTTATACTTTGTAGCAAGAAAGTAATTCTTGTAGCGAGGCAGTGGTAGTTGTTAAAGTGGAGTTTGCAGTGGTGGTGGTTAAAGGAATGAGGTAGTTGTGGTGGTGGTGGTGGTGATGATGGGACTGGGGTATAGCAGTGGTTAGCCCGCCCAGGCAGCAAGCATTAACCACTTTAATTAGGTATCCCCGAGGGTATCTTTAAGTGCTCCTCTGATTTTTTTTTGGTCCTGCAAAGTTTTCATTTATAACTTGAGAACGCCTCTTCCTGTCCACTTCAAATTTCCAGTGTGTGTGTGTGTATATATATATATATATATATATATATATATATATATATATATATATATATATATATAATGTCGTGCCGAATGGGTAAAACTTGCGATTTTGGCTTAAATAGCAACGCTCTTCTTGCCGAATAAGGCAAGCGAAAATTTGTGTTTGCAGTAACTTCGCAAAAATCATTCTGAACCTAACGAAAAAAATATATGTTTCATTGTGTTTATTATTAAATTATTGTAAACTTATCTAAAATATATTTAGTTGGATTAGGGTAAATTAAATTGTTCTTGTTATAATAAGGTTAGGTAAGTTTTCTAAGATTCTTTTCGTGCAAAATTAATTTTTTTTACATGAACATTAATGAAAAAAATATATTTTTAAACGTATAACAGAAAATTTTGGAAAGGACTTAATTTTAAATGAGTTCTTGCTAATTGACCAGTTTCACATATTCGGCACGACATTTTATATATATAATATATATATATATATATATATATATATATATATATATATATATATATATATATATATAATTATAGGTAGTTATAATGAACTAGAAAAAACAACCAGCGAACCCGCAGTGAACTCCGGATGGATCAATTATATTTATGAGCAAAAGTTGAGAATTCTTAGAAGCAAGAGGCAAGTTGGAGGTTCAGAGGTGATGGAAAAGTTTTAAGATGGAATGTGGGAGGGAGAGGAGTGGGGGAGGAATGGAACGAGGGGGAGAGGAAGTGAGGGGGGAAGGGTTGAGTTGTGGTGGAAAGATGGTAAAGTAGTGGGGGGCAGGGGGTGCTAAAGGGGAAGTGAAGGAATGGGAAGGAAAAAAACCTGTGAATATGTTACCATAGTAGCGAAGTTTGTCTTAACCACCTCCAGGTATTGTCTTCACCTCCAGGTATTGTCTTCATCTCTAGATATTGCGTTGACCACCTCAAGGTATTGTCTTCACCTCCAGGTATTGTCTTCACTTTCAGGTATTGTCTTCACTTCTAGATATTGCGTTGACCACCTCAAGGTATTGTCTGCACCTCCAGGTATTGTCCTCATCTCCAGGTATTGTCTTTACCACCTCCAGGATTGGTCTTGACCACCTCTAGGTATTATCTTCACCTCCAGATACTGTCTTGATCACCTCCAGGTATTGTCTTGACCACCTCCAGGCATTGCAATACTTTCAATCTATATTCGGTTATCTCAGTGTTTTGGTGAGCACTGTGTGGACCACATTCAAGCTATCTACTCTGTCTTTGAACACCTGGGTCCGGCCTCACTGCGTGCATTACCCTTTCTCACTTAGACTTTTTCCTGTATAATGAACACTGGATTTTTAAGTGGCGTAAATTTGTACTGAACGTGAGAAGGATCACTGTTTTTCAGATTTTAATTAAGACCTGAGGCTGATGAGTGTTGCCATGTGGAGGCCTGAAGAACTCTCCATATTGTGACGGCATTATTTTTTTTACGGTGTTAGAGTCTGTGAAAGAAGTTTGTGTGGGTATGGGAGGTTGGGTGCCGGTGGGAGGAGGAGCGATTGGTGGAATGATGAGGTGAAGAGGGTTAAGGGAGAAGAAAAAGTTAGCCTTCCTATTAGTGCCGAAAATTACAATTTCAGTTTTTGAAGTAACTGAGTTTGGATATACATTATTGGTTGTTTGTGTACGGTCTGTTATATCAAACACGAATTTCTTATATGCAAATACTTTATTGATATCTACAAGATGAGGCACTTTCTCTCTAATGCTTTACCTTACATGTCTGAAATTTTTATGGAAACAAATGAAATTCCCTAAAAACGCTTGCAAAAATTGCTAAGATAGCGTGACTAGCATGTTAATATGTTAACATGCATGTGATGACGCTGCCAGACATACAAATTTTGGAGCACACGTGAGGGGAAAAGTTTCTTTCTCATCCCGCTGTACCTGCAAAAGAAAATTGAAATTGATATTAGAAAGCAGTCTCAGTTTTAGCGAGCTTCCTGCGCGTGCTGGAAAAGGAAAGTGGGACGCAGGTAATCACTGCCAACGTTTCCGTAGACTAAATGGAAGGCTTAACAGGATGCACCCGTTGGCAGGCGTAAATCACACCGTAATTTGTTCCAGTATTTTGATAATTATTTTTATGCTTAGTATTCTTCCCTTCTCTTGTCTCCTCCGCCCTCACTTGATTATTGTGAGGAAGTCATCTCACCTGTGTGACCCCTCAGCCATTTTGCTCAGTAGTGTTGTGGGAGAGATACCTCTTTGTGATTACCTTATTATAGTTACACCACCAGAACCATGTTCGTGGTACTTGAGTATATGGGAAACACAGCTAGCACAGAGCATAGTTGTGGTACATGAGTACACGGGAAAGACAGCACTGAACATGTTTGTGGTATTTGAATACATGGTAAAAACAGATTACATAGAACAGGTTTGTGGTACATGAGTACATGGGGTAGACAGAGAATCTGGACGTTTACACCAAGGCTATCTGCTCAGAAGAGCTTACAACTACTACTTATACCACGTAGATTAAGGACTATCTTATATTGTCTAGGTGTGTGTGTCAAGATTAGTGAAGCAGAAGGCTCTCTGCTCACCTTCCACTCCCTCTGGCTGCTGCCGGCATGATAACAGAGGGAGAAATTTATACCATACCATATTGGAAAAATGTCATGAAATTTGCAGAAGATAACACTGGATGGCAGTCATGAGCTATGACTACCTTTACTAAATTATTACCGTTTCTGTCTTAAACCACTGATGTTATTCCATGGCCACTTAGAGAGGTGTATATATTACTGGTTCTACTTCTGGTTACCACTGCTTCAGCTATAATTATTGCAATAGTCTTCTACTACTAATATTGATCTGGTTGTCCTGTTCTAAGATGCTCCTTCTGATACAGTCGCTGAGCAAGCACCAGGAATATCTTGACTACAGACTGTCACATTTATTGAATATATTGCACAAGACGGTCTGCATGGATTTAGTGTTTGGTGAGTGTTGAGTGACATAGTGAATGTACTAGGTAAGATCTCACATTTTCCTTTCCTTGCTTACTGTACCCTGTATCTTGTTGCTCACTATAACTTATTATCACATTTTCCAACATATAAAATAATTAGGGGGCTAGTAACCCCTTCTGTATAAATTAGTAAATCACTCGCCTCAGTGAGATACTGTTGTGTTGAAAAAAATAATTGGGATGACCCAGCAATCTTGACTGAAAGATTTATGCTAATTATTATTATTATTATAATCAAAAAGAAGCGCTAAGCCACAAGGGCTATACAGCAGATTTATGCTAAGCATGTAGGCTATGAAAGCTTTGGCAACTCCTTCCACTAGGACACAGTTTATCTAGTTTAATGCTATACTTACCAAGTGCTTGTCTAGCTGAGTACTGAATGACTGTATCGCCTTTGTACTTACAACATTAGTCAGTAGTTTAATTCATTCCGCTATAATTCTGTTTGTAAAAAAAAAGAGAGTTTTTTGCATACGTTCGTGTTGCTTCTTCTGCCTCGAAGTTTCATTCATTGTTTCGAGTTAAACTGAACACTTGAAAGTTCATTTATGTTAATGTAAAAATTAATAATTTTGTACCAAAAGAACCTTAAAAAACTTATCTAACCTTATAACAAGCTCAATTTAATTTAGCCTAATCCAGCTAAATATATTTTAGATAAGTTTACAATAATTTAATAATAAACAATGAAATATATTTTATTCGTTAGGTTCAAAATTATTTTTGCGAAATTACTGCATGCACAAATTTTCGCTTGTCTTATTACAGCTCCTGGCCCCTGGTGTGTGTGTGTGAGAGAGAGAGAGAGAGAGAGAGAGAGAGAGAGAGAGTTGATCGCATAGGGAGAACTTTGAGAAGTTAGATACTGTCTCAAGATAGTCTGGCCGTCCCTCCGTCACCAACTGCTTTAATTTGAATAAAATTGTCAGTGTCAACTCCATAGACTTTTAGGGGTGGATCACTTGCATGGTGGCGTTGTGGTCGCTGTTGTGTGGTGGGGTGTCTGTGGTGTGGTGGGGTGTCTGTGGTGTGGTGGGGTGTCTGTGGTGTGGTGGGGTGTCTGTGGTGTGGTGGGGTGTCTGTGGTGTGGTGTCTTATATTACTTGTATTACTGCCAGCTTGGTCATGTTACATATGACATCTCGACATACAATACATACTCTACAGGCTGAGCAGGCAGGCGGCTCTGGGCTGATTCTATACAACAGCAAACACACAGGTAACAAAGAACTAATCATAGGAATGGTAATAGAATCTAATGGGATGACACCGATTGTAATGCATTACACTCATAGTATATATACAAAAGGGTAGAATTGATCGATCGATCTGTATTCATGTGATCTATGGATTCTGATGAATATATGTACAAAGAAGATAGTGTTTAACAGAAAAGGCAGACTTGGTGCACACAAGTCATCTACTGTTAAATCTCAAAACTCGGTGTCTGTGGTGTGGTGTCTGTTGTGGGGTTACTTTGGTGTAGTGTCTGTTGTGGGGTTACTGTGGTGTGGTGTCTGTTGTGGGGTTACTGTGGTGTGGTGTCTGTTGTGGGGTTACTGTGGTGTGGTGTCTGTTGTGGGGTTACTGTGGTGTGGTGTCTGTTGTGGGGTTACTGTGGTATGGTGTCTGTGGTGTGGTATCTGTGGTGTGGTGTCTGTTTGTGGGGTTACTCTAGTGGGGTGTCTGTGGTATGGTGTCTGTTGTGGGGTTATTTATGGTGTGGTGGCCCTGTGGTGTGTGTGGGGGGTTACTGTGGTGGGGTGTCTGGGGTGTCTGTCTGTGGTGTGGTATCTGTGGTGTGGTGTCTGTTGTGGGTTACTGTGTTGTGGTGTCTGTGTTATGGTGTCTTTTTGTGGGGTTACTGTGGTGTGGTGTCTGTTGTGGGGTTACTGTGGTGTGCTGTCTGTGTGTGGTTACTGTGGTGTGATGTCTGTGGTTGGGCGTCTGGGTGTGGTATCTGTGGTGTGGTGTCTGTGGTGGGTATCTGTGGTGCGGTTAGTGTGGTGTGGTGTCGGGTGGTGTGTTTATTTTGTGTGTGGGTCTGGTGGGGTTACTGTATGGGGAGTCTGTGTTGTGGTGTCTGTGGTGGTGTTACTGTGGTGTGGAAATCTGTGGTGTGGTGTCCTGTTGGGGGGTATCTGGTGGTGGCGGTTACTATGGTGTTTTGGCTGTGGTGTGGTGTCTGTTGCGTGGAAATCTGTGGTGTTGTATCTGGGGGTGGGTGTCTGTATTGGGGTTACGTATGGGGTGTCTGTGGTGTGGTGTCTTGGTGGGGTTACTGTGGTGTGGTGTCTGTGGTGGGTTGCTTGTGTGTGGTGTCTGTGGGGGGTTACTGTAGTGTGTTGTCTGTGGTGGGGTTACGTAGTGGGGGTGTCTGTGTGGGGTTACTGTGTGTGGTGTCTGTGGTGGTTACTGTGGTGGGGTTTTCTGTGGTGGGGTTACTGCATGTGGTGCCTGGGGTGGGGTTACTGTAGTGTGTTGCTGTGGTGGGGTTACTGTGGTGTGGTGTCTGGGGTTTGGGGTTACTGTGGTGTGGTGTCTGTGGTGGGGTTACTGTAGTGTGGTGTCTGTGGTGGGGTTACTGTAGTGTGTTGTCTGTGGTGGGTTACTGGGTGGGGTTTGTCTGTGGTGGGGTTACTGTAGTGTGGTGCTGTGGTGTGGCGTCTGTGGTGGGGTTACTGTAGTGTGGTGTCTGTGGGGGTGGTGCCCTGTGGTGGGGTTACTGAGTGTGGTGTCTGTGGTGGGGCTACTGTAGTGTGGTGTCTGTGGTGGGTTACTGTGTGTGTGGTGTTTGTGGTGGGGTTGCTTTTGTGTGGTGTCTGTGGGGGGTTAACTGTGGTGTGGTGTCTGGGGTGGGGTTATTGTGGTGTGGTGTCTGTGGTGGAGTTACTGTAGTGTGGTGTCTGGTGGGTTACTGTAGTGTCGTGTCTGTGGGGTTACTGTGTGTGTGGCGTCTGTGGTGTGTTAACTGTATGTGTGGTGTCTGTGGTGGGGTTACGGGGTGGGGTGTCTGGGGTGCGGTTACTGTGGCGTGGTGTCTGTCGGGGGGTTTTACTGTAGTGGGGTGTCTGTGGGAGGTTACTGTGGTGTGGTGTCTTGGGGGGGTTACTGTGGTGTGGTGTCTGTGGGGGGTTACTGTAGTGTGGTGCTGTTGTGGGTTAGTGTATGTGGTGTCTGTGGTGGGGTTACTGGGGTGTGGTGTCTGTGGGGGGGTTTACTGTAGTGTGGTGGTGTGGTGGGGTTACTGTAGTGTGGTGTCTTTTGGTGGGTTACTGTAGTGTGGTGTCGGGGGGGTTACTGTGGGTTTGTGTGTCTGTGCTGGGGTTACTGTAGTGTGGTGTCTGGGGTGGGGTTACTGTAGTGTGGTGTCTGTGGTGGGGTTACTGGTAGTTGTGGTGCTGTGGGGGGGTTTTACTGTAGTGTGGTGTCTGTGGTGGGGGTTACTGTAGTGTGGTCTGTGGTGGGGTTACTGTAGTGTGGTGTCTGGTGGGGTTACTGTAGTGTTGTGTCTGTGCTGGGGTTACTGTAGTGTGGTGTCTGTGGTGGGGTTACTGTAGTTTGGTGTCTGTGGGGGGTTTAACTGTAGTGTGGTGTCTGGGGGGGTTACTGAGTTTTGGTGTCTGTGCTGGGGTTACTGTAGTGTGGTGTCTGTGGTGGGGTTACTGTAGTGTGGTGTCTGTGGTCGGGTTACTGTAGTGTGGTGTCTGTGGTGGGGTTACTGTAGTGTGGTGTCTGGGGTGGGGTTACTGTAGTGGGGTGTCTGTGGTGGGGTTACTGATGGTGGTTCTTGGTGGGGTTACTGTAGTGTGGTGTCTGTGGTGGGGTTACTGTAGTGTGGTGTCTGTGGTGGGGTTACTGTAGTGTGGTGTCTGTGGTGGGGTTACTGTGGTTTGGTCTTTTTTAT